GCTGTCCTTAGGGGCTTCTTTTGCAGGAATTTGACTTGTAGTTGAAGGCAGGAATCAGAAAATAGGGGCTCTTGTTTTTATTCCTACCTCCGTGGGCTTGCCCCAAAGCTCCGAGTGTCCCACAAATCCCTTCCCAGCTTCAGTCATGCAAGAAGGTTCAAATCTTCTGAGGAAGGTACTCCGCAGGAGACACTGGCTTTGAAAAGATGGACTAAAAATAGTGATTATTGCTTTGACTCAGCCACCTCTAAAACAGGTTAAATACTGAAATTCCGTGAGTCAGGTAAATTGTAAGGTAAACTTATTAAAGAGTTATGAGAACCCAAAGAGACAGGCATGGTAGAAATGTATGTTAATTATATGTCACATGAAGGGGAAAAAAAAAAGTTTTGCCAAGCGTCCAACAGCACTGCAAAGCCACCGGTCCGAAGCCCAGGGAAACAGAAACTCTTCCACAATCTCATTAAGCTGTAGATTGGGCTCTGGAAGAGAAGTTCAATTAATCCTCACTTGCAAATTCAACACATATAGTATGCCTTCAGCCTTAAAGACAATATTTTTTTAAAAGACACTTTGTAAAATTGTATTTAAAAAAAAAAACAACAACAACAACTTTGTCCAAAGGTAACTCACTTTATGACTCTGCAAACTGAAAGCTGAAATTTTGAGAAATTACTAATAAGGAAATGAGAGAATTTTTAAATAAAATAAAATCCTGCTTTGCAATTTAACAGAATATGTTCATTTTCACATGGAAGGCATACAGATATTCGGGCACACTTAAACAGTGCTACATTTAAATTCAAAGCGTATGCTTTATTTCAAGGTGATTATACATCACAGTAATTAAACGAAATGCTCTCAAAAACACCACGTTCCTGTTACTTTTTAAATGCTGGAATACTTGAAGCACTCGCACGATTTCTATTTTTTTCCTGCGAATCTTGTACTTGACCCTCTTTTTCCGGGGGTAGCGGGGCTGGGGGGAAGCAGCGGATAAAATTGGAATTTGGGGAGTTGCTTTTTTCCAGTTGCAATTAGAAGGCTGGATTCCGCGGATAATTAGAATCAAATGCTCCAAATAAATGCTGCAAAACCCGGGCTCGCTTCGAGCAGGGCAGCCCTTCGGATCGAGCAGGCAGATCTTTTAAAAAGGGGATTTTGCTGAGGGGCCCGAGGCGCGCAGCCCCGCAGTGGGGCCTCCCGCACCCGGAGTTGACAGGGGAGATTTTGCGGCCAAACCCCCTTCCCCCAGACCCAAAGGCTCACCCCGAGGTGCCGCATCCTCCTCCGGACGGTGCAAAGCCCCAGCAGCTCCGGCTCTGCCCTCCCGGGGAGGCTCCCCGGTGCCCGGGGCCGCCGTCGCGGCTGCGGGGAGAGAGGAGAGGCGAGACGGGGCGAGGGGAGGCGGAGGGGCTCGTTTCGGTTCTTTCCAGCAATTCGCCGCTTTCCTCCGTTATTTGCCCGTTGGAGAGAGCGGGGAGAACCGATGCGCGCGGGGATGCGGGGAGCGGACGGCGGCCCGGGGACACCGCGGCTCGGCTGCCGGAGGGCTGTAGCAGCTGCGGAGGCACACAGGCACCGACCTTCTGCCACGCACCGACCTCCCCAGAACCCCCGGTCGGAAAGGGGGCTTAAAAAGTAACCAGCTGTCCGCAGGGAACGGCGCGCCCGGTGCGTCCCGCCC